CACGTGATAATCAATGACGAGCCCGCGAAAATGCTGCAATCAACCGAGCGCGTGACAGCTTCTCCCTGACCCAAGCGCGGGAAAATTTGAAACTAAAGCCAAGCGGATGTATATAAACTTGTGCCAAAGGGAAACTTATAACTAAGGTCAGGCGTGGGAAAACATATCTCAGACCCGAAGCGTGGAGAAGTACACAACTACGCCAAACGAAGACTCTCCAAGCAAGTGAAGCGTAATGGATACCGACAATTCAGACAATAACAGCAAGTAACAAACTTAGTCTTAATAGCGAATAGAATGGTCGAAAGTAATACGGGTTTGCTTTAGTTTTATTCAACTTTGCCCAATGATTGGTCCAGAAAACACGTGCCATCTTCGAAACCAATCAAACGCAAGAGTAAAAACAATTGCGACGTTTTCCTGCGCTTTGGGTCATTTGCTTCTTTTCACTTTGAATTCTCACTGGCTAATGAAAACGTCAACCTTTCTTCTAATTGTTCGCTGTGATTACTTTGGTTTTTCGACACGCAATAGCTCTTCTTCCAGTTCTGCGTGTGTAGTTTAGTTGGACGACGGTTTCCTGTATTAGCGTACGCGAAAGCGAGGCTATCGGATCAAGCTTCTCAGAAGATAAGAGCCATTGAAAACTGCTATATTTCTAACAAATGAATCCTGGTTCACCTGTTAAAAACTCCAGAACTGTTCTCTCCATCGGAACGAATTAACTGCTCCATCACGGGCGCATCGACTCTACCAAAGAACTTTCCAGCTGACTAGAGAAAAAAAGATCATGGCAAGGATGTTAATACAGAAAACATTTACTGAAATAACTGTTAAAAGAGGTCGACCAAGCTTTGGCAGTGCAAAATCGTGTGAAAAAAAAAAAAAACAGGACTCCAGAGAAACTCTGATGGCTTTGGTCCTTAATACTAACCTAACAGACAAAACAAGAGAACGGACAAGAAGGAGCAATTAAATCGTGCAATTAAATAATTGAATCAAGTTATTACCTCTCTGATAGGTATGACTTACCCTCGCTCCCTCATCATTTCCTGCCACAACAAAACCATTTTCATCCACAAGGTAACAGTAGAGGCCTTCGTNGAGAGACGGTAGAGGAAACACGACAGTAAGAGAAGCAACAACAGCAAAAGTGACACCACACAAGTAAATTTATAACATAACCAAAGTAAAGCGCGCGCTCTGATTGGTCAATTTAGCGTCCCCCATTTGCCCATGGGTGTACGCTGCTGACGTGAGCAAATGCAAAGACTATTTTTACGCGCGCGCTTGTTTTTTCTGGTCGCGTAAGATTTGTTAAATAAAAGGGAACTCTTTAGCTACAATGTATCAATGTTATGTTATAAAACAAATGGTAAACACCACAGCGTACACTATTGAGTTATGGATGCACGCGGGAGGTTGCTAAGCACGAAAGAAGCGTAAGAGTCGCTCGAGGCGATAGCCGAGAGCGACTCTAGCTTCTTGAGTGCTTAGCAAACCTCCCAAGTGCATCCATAACTCAATAGTGTACGCTGTGGTGTTTACCATTTGTTTTATAACATAACATTGATACATTGTAGCTAAAGAGTTCCCTTTTATTTAACAAATCTTACGCGACCAGAAAAAACAAGCGCGCGCGTAAAAATAGTCTTTGCATTTGCTCACGTCAGCAGCGTACACCCATGGGCAAATGGTGGACGCTAAATTGACCAATCAGAGCGCGCGCTTTACTTTGGTTATGTTATAAAAAACAATGTCGAGCATCAGACTTGTGGGTTTTTTTCACTTCAGGTCTGACACCAAAGTTCTTGCAACGAGGATAACAAGTTACGACTCAATATGACGTATTCAAGCTAGCAATCATGTTTGTTACTTTACCTCTGTTGTTTTTACAAGATATTTATCGACAAAGTCCTTCATTTCCATCTCATAACCAAGAACTGAATACATAAAAAAGAAATTGTAAATGAATCAAAGGAAGACTGTACCATATGGGACATAATGTGAAAACAGGATGATGGAATAGAAATAAAGCGCACTTCTGTAGCTCATCTGCGTCAGACGGGATATTCATTGCTAGCATTCTAAAAAATTCCAAAATGAGGCATTTGAGTGCCTTGGAAATGTGTGCGATTTTGCAGCGAGAAGATACTCGCAAACTTGAGAGGGTGGTAAGATCATGTTTTCAAGGATGCATTGGACATACGCGCTCAGAACAGTTATTAATGTGTTGAAAATATCAATTTTCAATCAGTTTTCAATCGGGTGTCAAATTGATCCCCCATTCAATGGTTGTACTTCATACTGTGATTGTTCTTGAAAACTCGCGCCACTTTCTCGATGGATTCCACAAGACCAACCGCGACTGTAGCACACATTTTCCCGTCAACATATTTTTTCTCTGACTTCTCCCTCATTGAGGAAAGCGTGCTCAGAAATCCGTCAGATATGGGAGTATGCACCCCTCTCATTGACTCCTTGGGACCCTCTCCTCTACATTAATTGGCCATTGTCATTAAGATGGGTGAGGTTTTATCACAACTGATCCAAAAGATCTCTAAAATGACTTTTTTGGCTGGCATAATGCTCTCACCTCTCAAGGAGACTCAAGAAAGAAGATATCACAAAATTTAGAAATTCATGTCATTGAAGATCACATATCGCAAATCTCACCAGCAGCAGGTCTTCGGTTGTGATATATTCTTTTATAAGCGAACACAGAATTGATGTTCTTATCGCACTTCGCTGCAATATAAAAAAGGAACAATGATCAGTGCGCATTAAATAATTTCTTCCTAATTTAGTAAGAAGGGCCTATAATTTTATCACTTAATGGTATTAAGCCTCAACAATTGACAGCAGTCATGAATTTTATTTTAGTCAAATAACGCGTGATACGGACAAATAGAAAGAAAGAGTCATATAGTAAAATGGCTATAGACTGAGTTATATCGGGACACGCGGGAAAATATCTAACTTTCGATTACGAAGACTGGGGGAATGGACCCAAGTCGCACTAGGTTCGTACTTCGCGAACGAGCGCCCGACATAACCCAGTCAATAAGTATTCAGGCCGGACAGAAAGGTTTACAGAAAACCAACAGATACTGGGCTGCTTCTGCATTACAATACCCACGTTGATATGAAGTACAAACATTCTATCTTAACAACAATACTGAACCGCGCCTTTAATCTTTCTTCAAACTGGCAACTTTTTCATCAAAAATGCGAACACCTAAAGGAGATCTTCACTCGTTTGCTTTACCCAGAGCCCCTCATACAAAACGCCATCAGGTCTTCTGTTGTAATGAAGGTGATGGAGAGCACGCGTCCCCCGCAACAAGCAGGTCAAATTCCCGTTAGGATACCCCTGCCCTTCGAGGATCAGAGATTAACAAACAAACTACGCGAACAACTTAGTGATCTTAGCCGGAAGATAAATATCGAAGTACATCCTGTCTTCACAAGCCGCAAGATCAATGACGAGCTCAAAGCTAAGGAACTTAAAACTCCAATTGTCAACCAGCAAAACGTTGTATATCTCTTTAAGTGTGATCTGTGCGATTCAGATTATGTCGGCTTTACAAGCCGACTGCTACATCAACGTGTGGAGGAACATAAACGATCGGTAATCGGCAACCATGTAAGAGAACATGTAAGAGAACATGGAATCGAACTTTGGGGTCCTGAGGAAATGCTCAAACAAGTTCGATTGTTTGATTTTCGAAATGTTTTTTATTCGGGACCTTAAGCCAAAAATGAACAAACAGAGCGATTCTATTCGCGCGAAGCTGTTTGCTTAACACTTCCTATTAATTAATTTTCATCCTTTTCACAGCTTATTTACCCTTCATTTTTGCACTTTGTCAT